CCTCTCTTTTGTCCTCTCGCTTCTCATTCTGTTCTTTTCTCTCCCCTTCTCTCTCTCTCTTTCTGTTCTTTCTTATTACTTTCTCCCATTTCCCCGGTCCTTATTTATTTCCCCCCCTTCCTTTTCCCCCCCTAGTTTTCCTCCCTTTCCCCCCTAGTTTCCTCCCTTCCCCTCCCTAGTTTTCCTCCCTTTCCCCCCCTAGTTTTCCTCCCTTCCCCTCCCTAGTTTTCCTCCCTTCCCCTCCCTAGTTCTCCTCCCTTCCCCTCCCTAGTTTTCCTCCCTTCCCCTCCCTAGTTCTCCTCCCTTCCCCCCTCTAGTTTTCCTCCCTTCCCCTCCCTAGTTTTCCTCCCTTCCCCTCCCTAGTTCTCCTCCCTTCCCCCTCTAGTTTTCCTCCCTTCCCCTCCCTAGTTTTCCTCCCTTCCCCCCCACTAGTTTTTCTCCCTTCCCCTCCCTAGTTTTCCTCCCTTCCCCCCACTAGTTTTCCTCCCTTCCCCTCCCTAGTTTTCCTCCCTTCCCCTCCCTAGTTTTCCTCCCTTCCCCCCACTAGTTTTCCTCCCTTCCCCTCCCTAGTTTTCCTCCCTTCCCCTCCCTAGTTTTCCTCCCTTCCCCTCCCTAGTTTTCCTCCCTTCCCCCCCACTAGTTTTCCTCCCTTTTGCCCCCTACTTTTCCAATCTCACAGCCAATCCTTTTCCACTTGACCAGCCACACTTTGCAGTTCGCTTTTGGAGTTATTAAGCGCAGAGCTGCCTTTGTAAATCGTTTGATTAAGTTCTCGAGTGAAAAAAAAAAACAACCTTGTATGTATGCAAGAAAGAAATGATCGAGTGCTGTTGGAGGCCAAAGCAGGTCTTTCTACATAGCCGAGAGTTTATAAACGAAACAGCAGCTGCCTCGCTCAAAGCACTACAGCTCCACTCTGGTGCATTATATCCTTGGCAGTCACCATAGAGGTTATAGCAATAGGTAATGCTTCGTCAAGGGACGGGTAGGGGGGAGGAGGGGGGAGGAAGGAGGACGGGTAGGAGGAAGGAGGGGGAGGACGAGTAGGGGGGAGGGAGGAGGAGGGGGAGGACGAGAAGGGAGGAGGAAGGAGGACGGGTAGGGGGGAGGAGGAGGAGGACGAGTAGGGGGGAGGGAGGAGGATGGGTAGGAGGGAAGGAGGCAGGAGGGAGAAGGGGAGGAGGCTGGAGGACTGGTAGGGGGGGTGGGGGTGAAGGAGGGAGAGGGCTGATGCACTGAGCTGCAAATACAATTACACCCCGTAAGTATGTAGAAAAGTAGCACCACTGTCACCACCATTTAGTTCACGTATGGGAACGTAGTGTTGATTGTGGGAAAGGAATAGTATAGATGTGAGGAAAGGAGCGATAGATTCGGTTTGCGAGTGTAGTGTGTGTGTGTGTGTAGTGTACGTGTTGGGTGAATATAAAGGTTGGTAACCGTGAATTGAGCCAAGGAGAGGCGTGTACATATACGCAAATGAGTAGCGTAATTAATAAGGCACATCAAGAACTGGTTTAATCACCGCACTGTTAATTAAACCTTTTTCCTTTCACATATTGGTTTGCGAGGGAAATGGCGACATAAGTGATATAAAATATTTATTAAAAAAAATCGGTAAAACAAACGTAAAACAATGAAAATATTGAAAGCAATAAAACACGAGCAAAAGCAATAAAAGCCATGAAATCAACAAAAGTAACAAAAAAAAGCACATACAAAAACACTAAAATAATGATAATAATAATGATGATAATAGCAATAATGCCAATGATCATAACAACAGTAAATATAATAACGATGATAATAATCATAATGACAATAATGATATTGATAATAATAATAATAATGATAATAATAACAATAATAATATGATAATAATAATAGCAATAATGATAACAACATCAATAATGATACTACCACTAATAATAATAACAGTAATAATAATAAAACATGATAATAATGACAATGATAATAATATTGACGTACGGCCACGAGGCGCGAGATGGCTTATTCTATGTGTTGCCCGAAAAAGCGCTAAAGGGCAACAAGGACCCAGCCCTCGGCCTGCCGTTCCTCGACGGGAAGCGGTTCCAATTCAACCCGAACGGGACGTTCGAGGTGATGGAGCCTAGGGGCCCAGAGAGGAGGAGCCCAAGGAAGAGGAGCCTAGGGAGGAGGAACCCAGGGAAGCGGAGCCCAGGGTGGAGGAGCCCAGGGAAGAGGGGCCCAGGGAAGAGGGGCCCAGGGAGGAGGAGCCCAGGGAAGAGGGGCTCAGGGAAGAGGAGCCCAGGGAGGAGGAGCCCAGGGAAGAGGGGCCCAGGGAAGAGGAGCCCAGGGAAGAGGGGCCCAGGGAAGAGGAGCCCAGGGAAGAGGGGCCCAGGGAAGAGGAGCCCAGGGAAGAGGGGCCCAGGGAAGAAGGGCCCAGGGAAGAGGGGCCCAGGGAAGAGGAGCCCAGGGAAGAGGGGCCCAGGGAAGAGGGGCCCAGGGAAGAAGGGCCCAGGGAAGAGGAGCCCAGGGAGGAGGGGCCCAGGGAGGAGGGGCCCAGGGAAGAGGAGCCCAGGGAGGAGGGGCCCAGGGAGGAGGAGCCCAGGGAAGAGGGGCTCAGGGAGGAGGAGCCCAGGGAAGAGGGGCCCAGGGAGGAGGAGCCCAGGGAAGAGGAGCCCAGGGAGGAGGGGCCCAGGGAGGAGGAGCCCAGGGAAGAGGAGCCCAGGGAGGAGGGGCCCAGGGAGGAGGAGCCCAGGGAGGAGGGGCCCAGGGAAGAGGGGCCCAGGGAAGAGGGGCCCAGGGAAGAGGGGCCCAGGGAGGAGGAGCCCAGGGAAGAGGGGCTCAGGGAGGAGGAGCCCAGGGAAGAGGGGCCCAGGGAGGAGGAGCCCAGGGAAGAGGAGCCCAGGGAGGAGGGGCCCAGGGAGGAGGAGCCCAGGGAGGAGGGGCCCAGGGAGGAGGAGCCCAGGGAGGAGGGGCCCAGGGAAGAGGAGCCCAGGGAGGAGGAGCCCAGGGAAGAGGAGCCCAGGGAGGAGGGGCCCAGGGAGGAGGAGCCCAGGGAGGAGGGGCCCAGGGAAGAGGGGCCCAGGGAGGAGGGGCCCAGGGAGGAGGAGCCCAGGGAAGAGGGGCCCAGGGAAGAGGGGCCCAGGGAGGAGGAGCCCAGGGAGGAGGAGCCCAGGGAGGAGGAGCCCAGGGAAGAGGAGCCCAGGGAGGAGGGGCCCAGGGAGAAGGGGCCCAGGGAGGAGGAGCCCAGGGAGGAGGAGCCCAGGGAAGAGGGGCCCAGGGAAGAGGGGCCCAGGGAGGAGGGGCCCAGGGAAGAGGAGCCCAGGGAGGAGGAGCCCAGGGAAGAGGGGCCCAGGGAGGAGGGGCCCAGGGAGGAGGAGCCCAGGGAAGAGGGGCCCAGGGAAGAGGGGCCCAGGGAGGAGGAGCCCAGGGAGGAGGAGCCCAGGGAGGAGGAGCCCAGGGAAGAGGGGCCCAGGGAGGAGGAGCCCAGGGAGGAGGGGCCCAGGGAGAAGGGGCCCAGGGAGGAGGAGCCCAGGGAGGAGGGGCCCAGGGAGGAGGGGCCCAGGGAGGAGGGGCCCAGGGAGGAGGGGCCCAGGGAGGAGGAGCCCAGGGAAGAGGAGCCCAGGGAGGAGGGGCCCAGGGAGAAGGGGCCCAGGGAGGAGGAGCCCAGGGAGGAGGGGCCCAGGGAGGAGGGGCCCAGGGAGAAGGGGCCCAGGGAGGAGGAGCCCAGGGAAGAGGGGCCCAGGGAGGAGGAGCCCAGGGAAGAGGAGCCCAGGGAGGAGGGGCCCAGGGAGGAGGAGCCCAGGGAGGAGGGGCCCAGGGAGGAGGGGCCCAGGGAGGAGGGGCCCAGGGAGGAGGGGCCCAGGGAGGAGGGGCCCAGGGAGGAGGAGCCCAGGGAGGAGGGGCCCAGGGAGGAGGGGCCCAGGGAGGAGGGGCCCAGGGAGGAGGGGCCCAGGGAGGAGGGGCCCAGGGAGGAGGGGCCCAGGGAGGAGGAGCCCAGGGAGGAGGGGCCCAGGGAGGAGGGGCCCAGGGAAGAGGAGCCCAGGGAGGAGGAGCCCAGGGAAGAGGAGCCCAGGGAGGAGGGGCCCAGGGAGGAGGAGCCCAGGGAGGAGGGGCCCAGGGAAGAGGAGCCCAGGGAGGAGGGGCCCAGGGAGGAGGGGCCCAGGGAAGAGGAGCCCAGGGAGGAGGAGCCCAGGGAAGAGGGGCCCAGGGAGGAGGGGCCCAGGGAGGAGGAGCCCAGGGAAGAGGGGCCCAGGGAAGAGGGGCCCAGGGGAGGAGGAGCCCAGGGAGGAGGAGCCCAGGGAGGAGGAGCCCAGGGAAGAGGAGCCCAGGGAGGAGGAGCCCAGGGAAGAGGGGCCCAGGGAGGAGGGGCCCAGGGAGGAGGGGCCCAGGGAGGAGGAGCCCAGGGAAGAGGAGCCCAGGGAGGAGGAGCCCAGGGAGGAGGGGCCCAGGGAAGAGGGGCCCAGGGAGGAGGAGCCCAGGGAGGAGGGGCCCAGGGAGGAGGAGCCCAGGGAGAAGGGTCCCAGTAGGAAGGAGCCCAGGGAGGTGGCCCAGGGAGGAGGAGCCACCGGGAAGAGAGCCCAGGAGGATGGACCATGTAATGAGGAGCCCAGGGAGAGGGGCCCAGGGAGAGGCCCAGGTAGAAGGGCCGCACAGGGAGCAGAGGGGCCGGTGGGGGTTCGGTCCCCAGTAGCGCGGGCCCAGGGAGGAGAGCCCAGGGAGAGGGGCCCAGGTAGAGGGCCCCCATTGAGGAGGCCGTCGGAGGATGGGCCCAGGGAGGAGGGGCCCGAGGGAGAGGGGCCCAGGGAGAGGCGCCAAGGGAAGGGGCCCAGGGAGGAGGTGCCCAGGGTGGAGGGGCCCAGGGAAGAGGGGCCCAGAGAGGAGGAGCCCAAGGAAGAGGAGCCGTAGGAGGAGGAACCCCAAGGAAAGCGGAAGCCCAGGGTGGAGGAGCCCATGAAGAGGGGCCCGGGAAGCGGGCCCAGGGAGGGATGAGGCCCAGGTAATTAGGTGTCTCATGAAGCTGAGCCCAGTGAGTGAATGAGCCCAGGGAAGAGGGCCCAGGAATGGATCCCCAGGGAAGAGGGCCCGAGGGAAGCGGATGCCCAGGTAAGAGGTGCCCAGGAAGATGAGCCCATGGGAAGAGTGGCCCGTGAAGAGGGGCCCAGTGAAGATGGGGCCCAGGGAAGAGAGCCAGGGAAGGATGGTCCCAGGAAAAGATGTCCCAGTGATAATGGCCCGGAATATGATCCCAGGGAGGGGCCCCCCCAGTGATTATGGTCCCAGGGAAGAGGAGCCCACTGGAGAGGGGCCCCAGGTAGGAGGACCCAGGGGACGATGGGCCAGGGAGGAGGGAGGGGCCCAGGAAGAGGGGCCCATTGAGGAGGAGGCCAGGTAATAGGACCCAGGATGGAGGGGCCCAGGGAGGCTGAGCCCAGAAGAGGATGCCCAAGGGAGGAGGGGCCACCAGGAGGAGGGCCCAGGGAGTATTGGCCCAGGGAGATGGCCCGTGAAGAGGGGCCCATGGAAGAGGGGCCCAGGGAGGAGGAGCCCAGGTAAAGGGTCGCAGGGAGGCGAGCCCAGGGAAGAGGGGCCCAGGGAGGATGAGCCCAGGCGAGGGAGCCCAGGGAGGCGGGGCCCATGGATGCGGATCCCAGCGGTTTTTTGGGTTGGAAGAGGTGCCCACCCCCCCCAGGGAGGAGTGAGCCCAGGGAGGAGGGGCCCCCAGGGAATAGGAGCCCCATGGAGGAGTACCCAGGGAAGAAGGAGCCCAGGGAGACGGGGCCATGGAGAGGAGCCCAGGGAGGAGGGGCCCTAGGAAGAGAGGCCAGGGATGATGTTCCCAGGGAGGAGGATCCATGTAAATGTGCCCATGTAAGAGTGGCCCAGGAGGAGGAGCCCAGGGATGAGAGCCCAGGGAAGTAGGCGCCCAGGAAGAGGAGTCCCATGGAGTGAGGGGCCCAGTAAATGGGCCCAGGGAGAGGAAAGCCCAGTGAGGAAGATCCCAATTGAAGAGGGGCCCAGGAATTGGTCCCAGGTAGGAGGGCCCGTGAAAGGAAGCCGGGAGGAGGTCGCCCCGTGAAGAGGGGCCCCAGGGATGGGCCAGGGTATGAGGAAGCCCAGGGGAAGAGGTGCCCCCGGGAAGAGGGGCCCAGGAGGAGAGCCCATGGAGTATAGCCCATGAGTAGAGCCCAGGGAAGAATGGACCCCCAGGGATGAGGAGCCCAGGCCAGGGAGGTGGGGCCCGCAGGTAGAAGTTGCCCATGTGAGGATGAGCCCATGGAGGAGGGGCCCCATGGAGGAGGTCCCACATTTATGAGTGTCCATGGGATGGGGGCCCGATGATGATCCCAGGGAAGAGGAGCCCCAGGGGAGGGGGGCCCAGTGGACGGGCCCAGTTAGGGAGGAGCCCAGGTGATGAGGGGCCCCCAGTGAGGATGGTCCCAGTGAGAAGGGTCCCATGGAGGATGAAGCCCAGGGAAGAGGGGCCCATGGAGGAGGAGGCCCATGGAAAGGAGCCAGGGAGGAGGTGCCCAGGGAGGAGGACCCAGGGAGGATGTGTCCCAGGGATGATGGGCCTGGGGCGGGGCAATGACCTCCCCCCCCCCCCCGCCCCGGAGAGATGGTCCCAGGAGGAGGTGCCCCATCCCCCCCTCCGGGAGGTGGCCCAGGGAAGGAGCCCAGGGAGAGGGCCGGCAGGGAGAGGGGCCCGGGAGGAGGGCCTCAGGAGGAGGGGCCCGCGTAGGAGGGGCCCGGGAGAGGTGCCAGGGAGGAGGACCCAGGGAGGAGGGGGCCCAGTGAGGAGGGGCCCAGGGAAGAGTAGTCCCATTGAGGAGGAGCCCAGGGAAGAGGACCCGGGAGGAGGGTCCCCAACCAGGCGGATGAGCCCAGGGTGGAGGTCCCGCAGGGAAGCATGAGCCCAGGGAGGATGTCCCCGGGAGGAGTGGCCCAGGGAAATGAGCCCAGGGAGGAGGAGCCCAGGGAAGAGGTCCCAGGGAGGAGTGCCCCTCGGTTCCAGGAGGAGGCTCCCCAGGTAATAGGGTCCCCGGGAATAGGGGCCCAGGAGGAGGAGCCCAGAGGAGGACCCAGTTGAGAGGAGCCCCTCAGGGAAGAGGAGCCCATGGATGAGATCCCAGGAATAGGGGCCCCGGGATTATTGGCCCGGAGGAGGGGGGGCCCATTGAGAGGAGCCCAGGGAAGAGAGCCCAGGGAGGAGGAGCCCCGGTAGGAGGGGCCCAGTGACTAGGGCCAGGATTGAAGTGCCCCCGGGAGTATGGTCCGCAGTTAGGAGGGAGCCCAGGGAGGCAGGGGCCCATATGAATCAGGGGCCCAGGGGGAGGACCCTGTAGAGGTGCCCAGTGAGGATGGGCCCAGGTGAGGCTGGGCCCAGGGATGATTCCCCGTTAATGAGGGATCCCAGGGAGGAGGGGCCCATGGAGGAGGAGCCCAGGGAGGAGGGGCCGCCCCACCACCCACCCAGGAGGAGGGGCCCAGGGAGTAGGGCCCCCCCTGGGAAGTGGCCCAGGAACAGGGCCTAGGTAAGGGACCCAGGGTGGGAGGGCCAGGCGTCGGGGCCCAGTGTGGAGGGTCCCAGGGAAGAGGGGCCCAGTGATGAGGGCCCGGAAGAGGGCCCCAGGGGTGGAGGTGCCCAAGGAATAGGGTCCCAGGATGATTGGCCCTGGAAGAGTGGCCACAGGAGGAGGGGCCCCATGTGGATGTTCCCCCAGGGATGAAGGGCCGCCGCCCCCCAGGGAGGAGGGGCCCGGGAAGAAATTTCCTAGGGAAGAGTGAGCCCGAATGATTGTCCCATGAGGAGTGCCCAGGGAAGAGAGCCTCAGTATGAGGATTCCCAGGTAATATGGGCCCCAGTGGGATGGGCCCAGGGTGGAGGGGCCCCAGGGAAGAGGGGCCCAGGGAGAGGGGCCCAGTTGGAGGGGCCCATGGAGGAGGGGCCCAGGGAGTATTGCCCAGGAGAGATTCCCCGGGAGGAGGCCTCAGGGTGGAGGCCCAACTACCCACGGTGAGGAGGGGCCCCAGGAGTAGTGCCCAGGGATGATGGGGCCCAAAGAGGGGCCCCAGGGAAGAGGGGCCCAGGGAAAGAGCCAATGAGGAGGGCCCGGGTGGAGGCCCGCCAAGGGAGAGGCCCCCAGGGAGTAGGGTCCCAGGGAAGAAGGGCCTAGGGAAGAGGCAGCCCAGGGAAAGTGGCCCCCAGGGAGTAGGGGGCCGGGAGGAGGAGCCCAGGGAGAGGGCCCAGGGAGGAGGGAGCCCAGGGAGGAGGGGCTCCAGGGAGAGGGGCCCAGGGAGGAGGTGCCCAGGGAGGAGGGGGCCCAGGGAGGGGGGCCCAGGGAGGAGGGGCCTAGGGATGAGGGCCTAGGGAAGAGGAGCCCAGGGTGGAGGGGCCCAGGGGAGGACGGGGCCCAGGGTGGAGGGCCCAGGGATGGAGGGGCCCAGGGAGGAGGGCCAGGGTAGGAGGGGCCCAGGGTGGAGGGGCCCAGGGAAGAGGGGCCACAGGGAGGAGTGGCCCAGGGATGAGGGGCCCAGGGTGGAGGGTGCCCAGGGTGAGGGCCCAGGGAGAGGGGCCCAGGGAGGAGGGGCCCAGGGTAGGAGGGCCTTGGAAGAGGCGCCCAGGAGTGAGGGCCCAGGGAGGAGGGGCCCAGGGAGGAGGAGCCGCAGGGGTGAGGGCCCAGGGAGGAGGGCCCAGGGAGGAGGGGCCCAGGGAAGAGGGCCTAGGGAGAGGAGCCCAGGGAAGAGGGGCCCAGGGAGGAGGGGCCCAGGGAAGAGGAGCCCAGGGAGGAGGAGCCCAGGGAAGAGGGGCCCAGGGAGGAGGGGCCCAGGGTGGAGGGGCCCAGGGAAGAGGGGCCCAGGGAGGAGGGGCCCAGGGTGGAGGGGCCCAGGGAGGAGGGGCCCCAGGGAGGAGGGGCCCAGGGAAGAGGAGCCCAGGGAGGAGGGGCCCAGGGTGGAGGGGCCCAGGGAGGAGGGGCCCAGGGAGGAGGGGCCCAGGGAGGAGGGGCCCAGGAGAGAGGGGCCCAGGGAAGAGGGGCCCAGGGAAGAGGAGCCCAGGGAGGAGGGGCCCAGGGAGGAGGGGCCCAGGGAGGAGGGGCCCAGGGAGGAGGGGCCCAGGGAAGAAGGGCCTAGGGAAGAGGAGCCCAGGGAAGAGGGGCCCAGGGAGGAGGGGCCCAGGGTGGAGGGGCCCAGGAAGGAGGGGCCCAGGGAAGAGGGGCCCAGGGAGGAGGGGCCCAGGGAAGAGGGGCCCAGGGAGGAGGGGCCCAGGGTGGAGGGGCCCAGGAAGGAGGGGCCCAGGGAAGAGGGGCCCAGGGAGGAGGGGCCCAGGGAAGAGGGCCCCAGGGAGGATGAGCCCTGGGAGGAAGGGCCCAGGGAAGAGGAGGCGACGGCTGTGCTCGAGGAGGCCCGACGCCAGAAGTCCCGAGAGGGAGGGGGGAAAGGGGTTAGAGTAAGAAACAGAGGGTTAGAGAAAGTGAAAGAAAGAGGGAGAAGAAGGAGGTAGGTAGGGGGAAGGGAGGGAGGGAAAAAAGAGACAAAAAATCGCAACAGACAAGCAGCAATGTTGCCAGCGAGTTCCAGAGCGAGCGGCGCCCAGGGTCCGGCCGGCGGCGAGCGGCGCAGACAGCGTGGCACCAGAGAGGATTCGCGATGTCAGAGGCCGAAATTATTCCTACTAGTTATTTAATATCTGTTTGGGCAAAGATTTATAGTCTGTCTTTTATGACGAAATACTTTTAATAGTGATGGCGATGATGATGATTAGGGTGATGGTGGTGATTATGGTGGTGGCATTAGTGGTGGTGATGATATTGAGGATGAAAATGGTGATGATGATGAGGATGGTAAAGGTGATGATGACAGAGAGGTTGGTTATGATGATGATGATGATGATTATGATATTGAAGTTGAGATTACAGGAAATATTGTTAATTCTGATGATAATGGTGGTGGTAATGATAGTAATGATGAGTTTGGTGATGGTGATATTTATGATGATGGTGATAATGATGAA